AATCGATCTGCTGGAATGCCTCCTGGATCTCGGGGTCCCTGAAAATCTTCCGAATGTCGTCGTCGATGTCCCAGAGGCCACAGAGGTCGTCGCTGATGGGGGTTGCAAGGGCACTGAGGAGGTCCTCGCGGAGCTGGCGGGCCCAACATGTGTGCCAGGGTGTAAGATACCGTATTGGTTGCGAAACTCATGGCTGATAGAGTCGGTCCTGCCAGAGGGACTGATCAATGAATAGGGGTTCCAGCCTACGAGCTTCGCGTTCTCGCTAGGTCGTACTAAGCTGCTGCATCGTCGCCACGTCGTCATTCAGGGTCTTCCACCAGCAGCGCCGCGCCGCGCGGCGGCGCACACGGAGCGTCAGGGCCAGCCTCTCAGCAGGCTGGGGGGTCCATGGCGGGTGACTGGACTGCGCGAGATGTGCGGGGGGGAAAGGGGGAGGTGTGCGAGGCCTGTTCGCACGGGGGGGCTCGAGCCTTTCGCGGCCTTATGATGGCAATTCGCTTGGGCATCGTTTCTGGATGGGCTTGTGGGGTTACGCGAAGAGTTCAGAATACGTGCAGCAACGCGATTAGTTTGGTGGCGAATGCGCGCGGCAACGCAGTTGGAGTACGGACACACAGGCGCGCAACCGAAAAACGACGGGCTGGGTCTGCACAAGCAACAGTCTTCATCCTTTACTTTCCAAGTCATATGACCTGCATAAGAAGCTGGGACTTCCCCTGGGGGACTCGTGACAACGCTGGCAAGGCCTCCAACACTTTCCTTCGAACCGGACTTCGTAAAGACGCTGCCCGTGGCCTGACCTGGTGATGGGAAGACAGATGATCCAGGCGGGGGTAGGCGCCAATGACCCAGGCAAAGGGAAGATATGAGCCGTTGTCAGAACAGAAGGATCCTGTAACTGGTGGTCCAGGAATCACCAAGCAGTTCTGGTTCCGAGTAATTCGAAAACCTAAGTGTACGATGCGTATCTTCCTCGGTGAATGCACCGTGGGGCTATCCTGATGCTGATGCCTGGCGGTGATGATGACGGTGGTGGTGGTGGTGATGCTGGCGATGATGACGATCCTGATGATGATGATGATGATGACGATACCCTGATAATGGTGTTTCCAAAGCCAAGGAATGCGTTGAAGGAACGAAAAGTGCACCGCAACACCCAGGACAAGTGCAAGAAAATTGACCAAGGAGCCTCGAATTATTCATTGCTGAAGGGCCCACGACCAAAAATCGTAGACAACGTGGAAGGTGTCCCATCACTTGCTGGGCTCCCGACACACACGACGCTTTTGCGCGAGCCATCACAGAGTAGACAGGCGTTGAGAACAACGCGGGCCCACCGAGTTGCTAGCTGTCGTGGGCATGGCTGGGCCATGAGTGTCCATAAAGGGCCTGCTGGGGAACGGCCAACATGGATTTGGCTGCAGCAACAACTGCGCGCGCCTTGACAACAGCGAGGCACCGACATCACATCGACGCGATCTCTCAGAATGCCAGTGGGCCTCTTCCAAAGGGTCCCAGCCTAGCAATCATGCGTGAGTGCCCAAGCGAAATGCGGCTGCAAGGCTGCCCGGAGAAGAGACGGAATGAACTACAACCTACTAGGGGGATTCTCACTTGCGAGAGGCACCTCCGCCCGCTGGAAGCTACCCCAAGACCCCTTCGCACATCCGCACCAGCCGGCTGGCCAAGGCAAGCCGGATGCGGTCAGCCAGATGCGCGACAGATGCTGAGCCACAGATCTAATCGCGTGATCTCAACGTGCTGCGGGAACATGGGCCGGTCGGGCCGGCCTGCCAGAGCGGCCCGCCGCCCTGGATACCTGTCCAGGTCTGAGACGCCACGATGAAATTCACGCCCCAGATGGCCCGCGCGTCGAACCAGCCGCGCAGCTGCAGCGCCGCGCGCGGGATAGACTGATCCCAAGCCGGCCCCCAGCAGACGTCCAACTCGAAAACGAGTAACGAGGGCGCCCTCCTTGCGCAGCGTGTCAGTGAGGGCGCCCGCGCCAGCGAATACCTCCACGCGAGAACCCCCCGCCGCCACGGGCCGAGCTGTCTCCGCAGCGCGAGTCCAGGAGCGAAGCCAGCTGTGCGAAGACCACAAAGCCGCGCGGTGCACCTCGGGCGCCGGGCGCTGCAACTGCTCGTTGACGCGGCTGGGCTCCAGGTAGCGGGCGGCCGACGCGTCGGAACTCCAACGCCCTCGAAACTTCGCGCTGGCCGACCGTCCGCAACTGCGTCGCCAGCTCCACGGACGGTCCGGAATTCCTCTTCTGATGCAGCTGCGGCGCCAGTGCCCCTTCTCCTGCGTCGGCTGCGGCCTGCTTGAAGAGGCTGCTGGCCTGCGCTTAAGAGATGGTGAACGACGGATGATCGGGGGGGCGCCGCCCCCTGCAGCCGCAGGGGCGCGGCGGGCAGGGGCGCGCGGAGCGTGGCCCCGCCCGGAGTTGGGGGGATCAGCTGCGCCGCCTTGACTCTATGAGCCTCCGAGGGCCGCAGGTCGCTAGCGAAAGTCGCCAGCGCGTAGATTTTGAGCCGAAGCTGGCCCCCCTCGATCAGCTTCGCCGCTATCAAGGCGACGACCTCCCAAGGGCGCGGCAGTCTGGCGCGTGCCGGGACCTTCCAGCGCCAACGGCGAAGCCAGGGGCGGCCCGGGGCCCCCGGCGCGAACTGCGGCATCATGAACTTCGGCGCCGCCATCGTCTAGCTACCCCGTTCCAGGCTCCCTTTTCGTGCTGATGGTCCATCTACTGTGAGAGGAGCGCGTCGGCCGTCTCCGGGTCGGCCGCGCCTGCATGGGCGCGGCCCACTCCACGGCGCCCGCAAGCAAAGGAGCTTCTGCCTCGTGGTTTCCGTCATCGAAAGCCGCCTGAGCACTGGCGCGCCGGCTGCGCGGAGAGCCGCGGCCTTGGGCGCCCGCGCCGCCGCCCGCTGGGCGCGGTGCGAAGCCGCCCCCGCCGCCGCCTGCGAGATGCGCGGGCGAACGTGGCCTCCAGAGCGAGAGGTGGCGGGCGCGGCGCCGCGGCGCGTGTCGGCCGTCTGGCTGGCACCGCTAGCAGCAACATATGCGCCGGCAGCGCCAACCGCGCCGGCGGTTGCGACGTCCTCGGCCGGTCTGGCGACTGCACGCCACTGAATCCGCGCCCCAATCCCAAGGCCTCGTAGAGACGGCAGGTCGGCTGGGTTCGCCTCCGATGGGGTCCACTCAACGACGCAACGATGCCGCCAGCCACCGCGAGCGCGGCCCACTGGCGGCAGATGCGCGCCATCCGCTGCCGCGAGGAGCGGCCCTTCAAAAGAGCCAGGACGGCGACGAGGCTGTCGAAGGGGAAGAGAAAGCGACGACCGTGCTATGTCTGATCGCGGAGGATGTGCTTCAAGGCATGAATGAGCGTCTCCCCCTTCAGCGCGGTGGCGTGCCTCCCCCGCTCCCGCGCCCCGCTGGAGATGACGACCCGCTCTGCCGAGGCGCGCTCTGCTGCAAAAGGTCGCCCGCCGCCAATCCTCAAGCGGGAATGCCGTGCCGCCACGCCCGCTGGGCAGCGTAGGACCGCGCTGCGGCCAGAGCGGGCCGTCAAGGTGACGCCACTGATTGGTCCCACGTCGGCAACGGACCCGACAGTCAGAGAGTCCACGTCCTCCGCAAGGACCCAAAACGAGCCTGTCGGCGCTTCACCGCTCGGCCCGAGAGGAGCTCCGCCGTCGTTCATCCGCCGGGGCCCCGCCGCCGCCAGTAGGGCAGCAGGCGGCGCGGCGACAACTGGGTCGGCCGGCGGTCCCCCTGCCATGGGGACGGCCGCAGCAATCGTTCCCGCTGGGGCAGCCGCTTGCGGGAGAGCGGCAGCAACTATCGCTCCCGCTGGGGCAACTGCTGGCGGGGGAACGGCAGCCACCAGTGCTCCGGCCGGGGCGGCGGCAAACGCTGGAGGTGCCTGGAACACGCCGCCCTCCATCCAGAGCAGGGTGCCTCCAGCTGGAATCGCAACACCAGGGTTGCGACGGGCGAACTCAGCGTCCGCCTCGGCGATGGCGGCCGCCAGCAACGCGGCCTCCCGTGCAAGATTAGGCGCCCGCCCGAAATTGTCTGTTTCGTCGCGCGGGATGCCGGCGGAGGCGGCCAACGCGTAGCGCTGAACCGCACAGCTGAAATGTCCTGCCTCGCGGCGAGCAGCCGCTCCGCATAGACCATGTCGTCGGGCGAAGCGATCCGACCAGGCCAATTGCTCCACCACCTTCCTCTGGTGGTAGAGCCGCCGTCCGCCCACGTTGTACAAGACCCACGCCACGCCTCCGCCATGGCGCGGACTGCGGCGTCGCGGGCGCCGCGGTGTCTGCAAGGTTTGCGCCAACGCCGCGCCCGCGCAGGCCAATGCCACCGTTCCCGGGGTCACCCCCACAGACGCTCTTGGGCACGGCGGGCAAGCCGGGCACATGGGGCAAGACAAGCAGGCGGGGCAACGCGCCACTCAGGCCTGCACCGCCGGCACGCCCCAACTATCCAACGTAGCCAAGACGTTACCTGGAAGGCCGAACCAAAGCATCGACCGCGGCCGGCCGCGGCTGAAGCTCGGGAGCCGAAGGCTACGGACGATGATGATGATGATGATGATGATGATGATGATGATGATGATGATGATGATGATGATGATGAAGACGATGGTGATGATGATGCTGATGCTGATGCGGATCATGACGACGATGACGATGCCGACGATGATGCTGATGAAGATGGTGACTATGCTGATGCTGATGCTGATGACGACGATGATGACGATGATGATAATGATGCTGATGCAGATGATGCAGATGATAATGACGACGATGCTGATGATGATGCTGATGATGGTGATGATGACGACGATGATGATGCTGATGATGATGATCATCATCATCATCATCACCACCACCATCATCAGCATCATCGTCATCAGCATCATCATCATCATGACGCTAACCCCAGCGGCTCGTGCGGCCTGGGCGGCCCGCGCGCGACGGGGCCTTCGCTAAGTTCTCCGAGTTGGTGATGCCCGTCTGCTGTCGCAGTTTGGCGTACTCCGACCTCCCACGGGGGGGCGAGACGAGAGCTCGCCCTCCGCACCCTAGTCCTCGTCGCCGTCCCCCTGCGCTCCCCCGGGCGCTCCGTGCCTTCCGGGTAGCTGCAGTAGGCGCCCCACGTTGTGCACATTCCAAGGCGTGCGCGGGAAGGGGAGCGCGTGAGGAAAAGCGGTCCTGAGGAAGAGCGGTCCTCGACCCCAAACGCTCTCCAACATCGGTTTCTCATCCCGAAACGCCATTGGACGGCCTCGGGCGCCCGTGAGGGGCCCCGAGAGGCCGCTCACGGCGAAGATCCTTGAAACCAGCTTGCTTCACGGCGAGGGTACGAGACCATGGGCACACGCAGAGACATGCTGTCCTGAGGCTGCGTTCTCCATGAGCAGCTCGCTGTGAGCCCGCCAATGCAAGCTCCTCTTCCTCCTCTCCCGTGGGCGCGGAGCCGAGGGGGGTACCCGCACGTGGCATGTTTGCATTAGGGACAGGAAAATCGGCCTTTTAAGAAACACCCCGAAACAAAAAAAAAAAAAAAACGCTGCGTAAACGCACGCGACGGAAGGAATCGAACCGGACAGGGCCGCTGTCGGCATCATTCGCAGACGCCAGAATGATGGGGGTCGCGGTGGTCTTTCCTTCCTCTGTGGATTACGTCCATGCCGACCCTGGCCGGGCCCGTGCTGGGCCCCGGATCGGCCTGGCCAGGGTCGTCTTGCGGGTGTGCAGCCTGGCGCCCACTCAGGCGGACGGCTCCACCTTCGGAGTGCCCAGGGGGCGACCCCCCCGCTGGCCAAGCGGGTCGCGCTGGGAAGCTGCGCCGCGTCCGCGGCGACCGGTGCAGGAGGGCGCTGAGGAGGAGCAAGAGGACGACGATAATGACTTGTTCCTCGAAAGCAGGACCTAGATATATGTAGAGTAACATCTGCCTGGAGATCAGAGCTCAGTAGTCCGTTGCTGCGCTGCGCTGCCTCGGAGTTGAGTGAGGAAACTTACTCGAAAAGGGAAGCGGCAGCCTCATCTTCGGCAAATGTGTCCAGCTCTGTCTGGGGCTCCCCCTCAGATGATGACGACGACGAGCACGAGAAATCTGAGGAAAAGGAGAGAAGGCCTTACGGCTACCGAGGGCCATAACAACCGAAGAAGGCGCTGAACGCTCGTAGTCCGACACCCCGCAAGGCCCCCTGTGGGCCATCAGACTGCCGAGCGTGTCGGGAACTGGATCTCATGCCCTGAGAATACTCAGTGTGACGACGACGGTGGTCCGCCACTGGGTGTGCGCCCGCGTCTGCAGAAGCAAGGCCCAACAACCTCCGTACTTCCGTGGCCGTAAGATGGATCTGGGCACGACTCCTTCAACCAATAACATGCTTGCCAAACTCAGCACCCGTAATTGAGAGGAAAGCCAAGGCGCTGGCTGGTACTAAACACTTAGATGATCCAAATACGACCTGCCAGGCTGAGGCGAGGCACCGGGAGAGAACACAAGAGCGAGTTACCAGATGATTGTTTAGCAGCGGGTGTATAACTGAGCTGCACGAAGGGCCACATCGGCGATCAGAACACAATTCAAACGACACTTACATAACCAAACACCACGCACTGTTCGAGATTGCCGCCCAACTAACCCAGACTCGATACAACCACCCTGTCCCCAAACGCATGTGCAATGCAATGCGTCCAACGTGCCCAACCCACGGTATGATGTCTCACACCCCGCTCGCTAAGCAACAGCGTGCCCCGCGCACCCTCCCCATCCTCATCCTCTGACTACCGGCCTGTGATCATCGCGTTCGTGCTTGGTCTTCGCGACAAGCTCGCGCTGCGCGGCAAGGTCCTGTGGGTCGGCGCGCGGAGCGCGGGCAAGGAGGCAGCATAGGGGACGCAACGCTGAAGGGGAGGATCGTGGCGGCCAGGAACGAAGGGAGAAGAGGATCAGGGGGGAGAAGGCATGGCATGGCCACGCAGCTGGGAAGGGGTTCAGGAAGAGAAGACAGAACTCGCAGGCCCATCGGGCCAACTGCGGTTTTGACCTGGGCCGGCATGGGAACAGAAAGAACGCTTCAGAAACTTGCCCGAGATGGCTCATGGCACCGCTCGCTCCTGTGAGCCTTGGTGTTAAGAATTTGTTGCATCATCGCTCGCTGTTGGGAGCCTTGGTGTTCAGGACTTTTTACGTACTGCTCGGTCTTGGGAACCTTGATGTTCAGCGTTTGCGCGTCAGTATTCGCTCGCAGGGGTCGTGGTGTTTAGGGCTTTTTACGTCACTGCTCACTCGTCGGAACCTTGGTGTCTAAATATTGTCAATGTGGGCTATTGGTAGCCTTGGTGTTCAGAGCTTTTTACGTCACCGCTCGCCCGTCGGAGCCTTGGGTGTTAAGAACTTCTCACGTCACTATGGGCTCTCGGGAGCCTTGGTGCTCAGAGCTTTCTGCGTAACCGCTCGCTCTTGGGATCCCTGGTGTTAGAAATTGTTTACGTCACCGCTTGCTATCGGGAGCCCTGGTGTTACGAGCTTGGCGTCGGGCTTCCTCGGGGGCCTCGTTGGGCCCTCTTGGGGCCCTCTTGGGCTGCCTGGGGCCCTCTTGGGCCGTCTTGGAAGGCTTTGGCCGTCTTGAGGCTTTCCTTGGGGCGACCACGCAATAATCCTCGAAGAACCCTGCGGCTCTGAGCTCTTCCTGTGCGCTAATGGGGCTACCCGAGCCAGCATCGGAGCAATGATGGGCGTGCAAGGGCCGTTTGGGGGCCCTGTTGGCCTCGTTTAGGGCCCTTGTGGCGTGTCCGGCCTCATGTGGGAGCCGCCCGGAGCCTTCCGGGGCGTTTTTGGGGGCGCCTCTCGGTGTGTATTGGCGCCCTCTTGGCGCCTCTTGTGTCGTCTCCAGGCGTCGGGCAGCGAGGCAGGCGACAACACGAAAATCCTTGAAGAACTCACGGGAAAACAATGATGTTCGCCCCTGGGGTCTGTGTCGGGGATCAGCTCGAAGCTCTTTTAGGGCGTCTCGGAGGCCACGTGCGCCGTCGGTCGGCGTGCTGGGAGCGTTGTGGTGCTTTCTGGCCCCCTTGAAGGACCCGTTTTGTGGCCTCAAAGCCCCCTTGAGGGCTCTTTTGGCGGGTGGAGGTTCGTTTGGCCCCCCATACCGCACAGACCTGACACCCCTGAGGCCCTCTCGCAGATTCTGTATGTATGTAAATATGAATGTTTGTGTATATACATACATTATATCTATATCTATATCTATATATCTATATCTATATCTATATATATATATATATAGATATACAACCCGTCTCCACTTCCGAGGGCCAGACAGAACGTGACGCGAAACAGGGAAGCGGAATTGGGCGAAGCCCGATCGATAGAAAACGCACCGATCCTCTTTTCGCACCACTATGTGTGACGAGGAGCCAGGCAACGAGACGGGCTAGAGGCGCTGAGGCGACAGGCAACGCAGTGCACCGAGATCCCCCCAGAAGTTGGAGAGGTTCCGAGGCAAGTTCAAAGTGCTGAGAGCAACGAACAACATCAGGGCGGCCTGTGGGTGGGAGCGCTTTGAGCCCCCAACGGCGATGGAGATCACCGTGCGGCCCCCTCCCCTTTCACCTGCGCAAATCGTTGTTTAAACACGCGGCCCGTCTCCACTTCCGAGGGCCAGCCAAAACGTGACGCGAAACAGGAAAGCGGAATTGGGCGAAACCCGATCGATAGAAAACGCACCGATCCTCTTTTCGCACCACCAGGTGTGACGAGGCGCCAGGCAGCGAGACGGGCTAGAGGCGCTGAGGCGACAGGCAACGCAGTGCACCGAGATCCCCCCACGAGTTGGAAAGGTTCTGGGGCAAGTGCAAAGTGCTGAGAGCAACGAACAACATCAGGGCGGCCTGTGGGTGGGAGCGCTTTGAGCCCCCAACGGCGATGGAGATCACCGTGCGGCCCCCTCCCCTTTCACCTGCGCAAATCGTTGTTTAAACACGCGGCCCGTCTCCACTTCCGAGGGCCAGCCAAAACGTGACGCGAAACAGGAAAGCGGAATTGGGCGAAACCCGATCGATAGAAAACGCACCGATCCTCTTTTCGCACCACTAGGTGTGACGAGGCGCCAGGCAGCGAGACGGGGCAGAGACGCTGAGGCGACAGGCGACGCAGTGCACCGAGATCTCCCGAACCCCCAAATGGGATGAAACTGGCCGGCAGGCCGCTGATATAAACGCACTGAGCAGACTCTATTCCAATAGTTCGAGGTGGGCACTCGTGAGAACACTGAAAAGGCCAAACACCAGACAGAACGATGCTACGGCGATAAGCATTCGATAGTGCCAGTAAGGAGTGTTCAATCATTTCGGACATGCTTGCGCAGAACCGAGCGGGGTAGGCGGCTGCTTGCGCAGTGAGGTGGACCCCCTGCTCGCGGCCGCTGAGGATTACATGCGGACGGAGGCTTTTCGAGCAGAGTCCGCGCCGGCCAGTGCGCACATATGCAAGATGCTGTCATGGTTGATGGCGCCCCACTGCGCGACAGCGGTTCTCTTCCGCCACGGAGCGCCGCACTGACAACAGTCAAACACTGTACTGGGAAGACTCGTGCTGAAGCAAAGATCGCATGCGACGCGCGGGCCACAGGAGAGACCCCGCGGGGTTCTCAAACAAAAAACTGGACTGCGTGAGGCTATGCACTGCTCAATGATGTCACAGCTGAAGTGAAAGGATCGGTTGCCTACGCTGAGCTTGGCGCGCTCGTGCGGGGGCAAGTCGCTGCGGCCCATGCGGCGCGCCCGCGATCGCAGCGGTCGGCGCAGCGCCTGGCTCCGCGTTTTGCAGGGCGTCCCAAGCCAGATCGCGCCTGCCGCGCGCGCTGCCAGGCAGCCACGAAGCGCGCAGCTGAAGGCGCGCGAGACGTGGTTCTCGGCGCCGCCATTGCGAAGGTCGAGCGCCAGCCCTGGGGGCCCGCGCCGCTTGACCGCCTCGGTCAGCCGCCCCGAGCCAGCGAACAGCTCGAGCACCACGCGCCGAACGCGCTGCCCGCTGAGCGCGGCCTTCAGCCGCCGCCGCAGGTGCCGTCCGCGCAGCTGCCCATCGGGCGCCAGCGCCGCTCCATTGAGCCGCTCGGCCCCAGCTAGCGCCGGGCTTCAGGCCGCCTGTGCGCGCGCTTCCCCTTCGCTGGCGATGGCCCCAACACTCGCAGCACCGCCGCCGGCGCCGAGTGCAGGACCGCCGCCCTCTCGAAGCCGTGCTCCAGGAGGCGAGCGAAGTTGGACTCGACCATCGCCCCGAAGGCGAGCGCCTCCGAGCTCGCGCGAGCGATCTCGTCCAGGAGGGCGCTCTCCTTCCCGTGGCGCCTCATCGACGACGGCGCAGCCCGGCGCCCTCGCCTCTGGACCTCGACCGCCGTCCCGTGGCCCGTTGCCAAGTCGCCCGACGCGCCTCCGCGTCGAAGGCAATATGTGTGGGCGGAGGGCGCTGAGGCTCAGCGCGCGGCAGGCTGCCCTGAACACGGCCATGAGCTCGTCCAATGTGAAGGCCCGCAGCGGCGCCCCGGGCGCGGTGGCGCCCCGAAGTGCGGCCAGAATGGGCCGCGGCTCGGGTCGGTTGAGCACCGCCCCGTCGTCGGACTGGCCCGTCTCGCCGGCGACGCCCCTCTCCGAGGGATGGAGCAGCAGCCCCCAGCTCGAATAGCTCGCGCCGGCCGCTGGCGTCGGCGGCGCCAGGCTCTCCCCCGCGAGGCCCTGGGCCTCCGCGGGCCTCGGGTAGGCCGCGAAGGCTATCGCGATCCACGCTGCCATGCCCAAGTGGCCGTTGCTGATGGGCCATCCTGCTATCGCATGCGTGGCTGCGCGAGGGAGCGGCAGCCGCGTCTTGCCTGGGGCCCTCCGCTTCCATGCCGCGGAGGCCCTCGAGGCCCGGGGGAGGGGCGACACCGTTTTCTTGAATATCGAGGGCGTCACGTGCGCTATGGCTGCCAGCGTCTGGGAGCCGATGTTGCAGGCCGTCGCCATCTGGTAGTGATCGGAGAAGTACTTAGCCAGCGCCACATCGAGCTCCTCGTAACCTGCCCAATTACGACGATGGAGGCCGCGCCAGGTGACGAACATCAGCAGGGGCTGGCGGTAGCTGCGCTCGGTGTTCGAGCGCGCAGCCAGCGTCTCGATCAAGATGAGTCCCATGCGCGGCCTCTCTGCCACCGCCTGACGAGCGAGCCTCTGTCTCTGCGAGGCGGCCGCTGACGGGCTCGGCACGCGCGAGCCGCGAGCCGCGTAGGCGCCCAGGGGCCCCAGCATGCCTGCCACGCAGACGGCCAGCAACCCGCCGTGGGCGAAGGGCCTCCAACTCCCGAGCGCCGCTGAACCAGCCGTGACGGCCGCGACTGACAGCGTCAGATGGTTCCGTTCGGGCGCCACCCATCGCGCGTGGAGCTCGGGGCCAGATTTGAGCGACAGTGCAGGCGCGCGCCCAAGACATCGACGGGGGTGAATGCTCTGAGCCCTCCCCTTGACCACGCCAAGAGCCAGCGGTAGATTGTCTATGGGGATGAGAACGCGGCGGCCAGTGCAGCCTGATCCCCGTAGCAGGTGACGATTGGCCAGACACAGGGCCTCTCCTTCCAAGAGAGGGATGTTAGTGTGCCCCGAGACTTTCACGGCCGCTGAGGGCCTCCACCCAGTACTGCAGGTGGCGCTGGCAGGGAACTCGCTGAACCTGGCTCCGAACTTGCCCAAGTCGCCCTCAGGCGCCAAGACCCCCGCGGGGTTGCCCGCCGCCTCGGGGACCTCCAAGCCCTTGCAAGGGGTCCATGTAAGGGAGCGCGCAGTCGTCCAAGACGCTGCCCGAGACACCCCCACGTTCAGACGCCAAGACCTCCGCGGGGTTGCCCGTCGCCTCAGGGACCTCGAAGCCCTTGCAGGGGTCCGCGCAGGGGGGCGCGTAGTCGTCCAAGACGCCGCCCGAGCCATTCCCACCTGCAACCAGAGGAGCATCGGGGCCTCGCGGGGGCTGCGATACATGACCATCTGATTGACCGATTCCAGAACTGCTGAGTGCATGGCTGAGCGCAATGACATGATGATAAGGCTGGGCATCGCGAGACACGGCATGCCTCTGCTTTACTGCGCCCCTCTCGGACGACGATCCCGCCGCCAGCGACCTCTCGCGGGCGGCCGAGGCGCCGGCCACGTTGATGCGCTAGCGCTCCGAGAAGCGGCCGCGCTCCGCGATGGCGTCTGGCGCGAGCCGCCTCCGCGCGACGCCGAGCCCGCAGGGCGCCGCGTCGCTGCGCGTGGCGGCGCCGCGCCGCCCAGCGGTAAGGTCCGCCTGGGGCGCCGGCGGCGGGCTGCGGACCAGCTCCAGCTCGCGCGTCGCCGAACTCCAGAGCCGCCGTGGCCGCCCGCCGAAGGTCTCCGCGAAGGCGCAGCATGCATGCAGAGTAGTGAGCGCCTCCCTGCGGATCATCGTGGCCCACGCGATGTGGCCCAACGCAGCCCGCAGATCATGGCCTGTCGTCCAGCGCCTCCGCAGCAGGCTGCTGATCGCAGCCCGCAGCCCCCAGATGTTGCGGCTCTTGATCGTCGACGAGGTACCCTCGTGCAGCTGCAGCCCGAGGAACTCGACGTTAGCTGAAGCCTCGCAGATCTTGTGGGCGACTAGCCCAGCCATCCTGAGATGACTGACAATCTTGTAGAGCAAGTTGTTTGCCGCCACGGGCGTCGCGCCAGCGGTGGTCACGTTGTCGACGTAAGCGCCTGCAGTCACAGGGCGCTCATGATCCAGCTTGGTGCCGACCTGCTCGTCCACGACGACGCTCGAGGGGTCGACGCCGCTCCGCATCAGGGGGGTCGCCGATACCTCCTTGCAGAGGTGGGGGGCCATCGCAAGACCCTTCGGCAGAACCGCGACCTTCGCGGTGACTAGATGACCAGGCTCGAACGGCAGATCGGCGAGGCCCGCCTCCATCAAGAACGTCGCGTCGATGGCGGGCAGTGCGAAGTAGTCCTCCATGCCCGCGGGGAGGCGCGCGTGGTAGAAGTCGCGCTCCAAGTCCGCGGTGGCGATGAAGGCGCCCGTCGGCGGCACCTCCAGCGAGCTTCAGGCCGAAGCGGTCGGCCATCTGGTCTTCGGAGGTGGCCGAAGGAAAAAATGCGATGCGTGTGTCGAAGATGGCGCGCTGACTGCCGTTCTTCTTGGGTGCAAAAAACAAGCCCACATAACCCATGGGGCCCACTGCCGCCGAGAACGAAAACATCCCACGGGCGTGGAGCTTACCCAGGAACCCCGCGTAGACGTGCGGGCCACCGAAGAGCTCCCGATCGCAGTGCGCACCGCGGGGGCGCGCACTTGTCGCGAGCTCTTCAGCTTCCTCCTGAGGTCTGAGCACATGGCTCCGCCAGTGCCTTAAACGCTCCTCCTCCGAACGGCCGACGAGGGGGAGCGCGCGCGCACGCGCGCACACGCACACATTTGGGGTCGAGGTCGCGGCCCCGGCCCCGGCGCGCCGTTATGTTCAAACCAATCACTTTGTGATTGACAAATCCGTGGTGGGCGCGTGTTTTTTGTTTTCAAAACAAAAATCCTTGCTCGGGCGAATAGAGGGGTGGCGCCCGCCAGATTGAAAATCAGCGGCGGCAGCGCTGGCGACTAGCGCCGACGCCCAACCGCCAGCGACGAGGCGACAGACAGCGTCGAGAGGCGTCGAAAGGAGTGGTGAACTGACTTTTTGAGCGGAAAGCAGCTTGCGCTGTTTAGAGGCGTCCGCAAACCAAGGTTTCCTGCATTCTCTCTCTTTTCTCTCTTCTTTCTTGCATTTCCCCCCCCCGTCCCGCTTCCGCCCCCCAAAGGGATTGTGCTCTTATTGCGTGTTGATCCACCATTGCGTAAGGTACGTGCCTGTTTGTTTGCGTGATCTTGCAGCCCATTGCAGTTTAGTCTCAGGGTTTAGGCCGGTGCTTATAGTCGGTCGCTCACCAATAGCAGGGCGACACTAGCACAAAACGCAACATCGATTTTGGCCTCTCAATTCCGTTTTGCATGTTTTGCATCGATAACGCTGTTTATCAAGGTCGTTTCGTGCTATGGTGCTCGCATATCGCGCGAATATTCTCGACTCTGTTGGCGAGGGCGGCCCCCGGCGGCGAGAGGGCGGGGCCCCCCTGGCGCGCGCTATGCGCGCCGCGTGCAACGTGAGCCGTTCCGCCGAGTCCGAGTGAGGAAGGGGGCGGGGGGGGGGGCGAGGGAGGGGGGGGGGAAGGAGAGAGGGGGGAGGGGGAGGAAAAAGGAGGACGAGGAGGTGGAGGAGAGAGGTACGCAAGACGGCCCAACATGCGCCCAAGACGGCTCACAAGGGGAAAAGGGCCCCGCGGCGGCCCCCAAAGGCGCCCAGTTGGAGAAACGCGACTTGGACATCTGAGCCTCCGGGCTTGGCCTTGGGCTTGGCCTTGGCCGCTGGCCCCTGGGCAAGTCAGACGAGGGTGAAGAGCCGCGCTGAGGGCTGCAGTCGAGAGGAAGTGGAGGAGGAGGAGGAAGAGGAGGTGCAGGAGAAAGGAGGGAGAGGAGGAGACACGCGGGGCCAACATAACACAGGTCAGCAAGATTGGGGGCATCGCCCCGAAAGAGGAAGTTCGATGTTAAGGGGCTACGAGGAGGAGGAGGAGGAGGAGGAGGAGGAGGAGGAGGAGGAGGAGGAGGAGGAGGAGGAGGAGGAAGAGGACCCATGCCAATAAACACCCTGCTTGCCCCCAGGCGGCCGCGGGTTCCTCGGGTTTCGATTTATTTGGCCATGGAAAACATGGCGCTCCCACGCCAAAAAAACAAGGGGCGCCCTGGGGTGTCAGGGCCGGGTTTCTTTTTGAAGGTTTCTTGTGGTCGAGCTCATACCGCATCTCTTCTTAGCTCTGGGAGCAGAGGGGAGATCTGAGGAATGGCCTCGCGCGTTGAGAGTGGCGCGGCACGGGTGCAGGGTGCAAGACCGAGGAGGGCCAGGAGGGGCACCGACAGCAATGGTATAAATGTCCCCGTTCCTTGTGCCTGTTGCTGCTCCTCCTCCTCTACCTCCACGTCCTGCCCCCTCCTCCCTCCAGCTCTCTTTCTCTCCCTCAAGTCGTGGGGGAGGAGCGAGGATAACACATCGCGCATATAACACGAAACAGGGGCGGGAATAACACACAAAAGCTTGGACAGGGGCCGTTCTCGACCTCCCCAAAACACAAAAAAACAAAAGTAAACCAGACATCGAAACATTGGGTTCATAACATACGAAGAAACACGGTGTCCTAAGATTTACCATGCGCCAACAGCGACCCATCACAATAACATAAGTCGATATTGAATTGTGCTATTTGAAAACGGCCAACTATCAAGGGCCAACTTTCCCACGCACCCGGGTGGGTCTTGAGATGGTGGAGCACGATCGTGTTTCGTGGAAAGGGCTTGGAACTTGAAGCGCGACAGACAGCGCAGACCGGGGGGAGGGGGGCGGGAGGCAAAAGCGGCAGAAAGAGGGGCCGTGAGCCAAGCCCACACGTGTTCGACATGAAGAAAACTGTTGCCGGCGCTCGCCCCCGCACTTTCCGTGCTCTTTTGTCGAACCGATGCGTTTCCTTTGCCCTGGCCGCAGCCAGGGGGGCGCCAGCTGCCTCGCGGGCCCGCGAGCAACGCGGGCTGGACGAAAGGGGGGCGTGGCCAAGCGGTGATTTGCCCAGCAGCCCGCATTGCTGATTTTCCGAGCGCCCCCCTGGCGCCGAAAGCGGCCATGCATCGAGGAGTGGCCCCTCGGCGGTGCGACCGAAACCAGCTGCGCGCAGCAGGTTTCGTAACTCCCCCTTTCCTTCCCCAGCCTTTCGTCCGACCCGAGCAAGGCGGGCAGTGCTCTTCACCCCTGTCGTGGTCTCTGTAGTCGACGACGACGACGACTACGACGCCGACGAAAGCGAGGACGAAGACGAGGAGGATCGAGGACGAGGACGAAGACAACGGACGGCGGACGGCAGACGGCGACGGCGGCGACGACGACGACGCACTGCGGATGCCCTGGTGGGGTGGGGTGCTGCGCAGGCCCGCTGTGGTCAACGACGACGACGATGACGACGATGACGACGAAAAGGACGACGACGACGACGGCGGCGACGACGACGACGCACTGCCTGCGGATGCCCTGTGTCGGTGGGGGGCTGCGCAAGCCCGCTGTGCTCGACAACGACGACGACGACGCCGACGTTGACGACGACGACGACGACAACGACGACGTTGACGACGACGACAACGGCGAAGGCGACGACGACGACGACGCTGACGACGACGACAACGACGACGGCGACGACGACGACAAGGACGAC